GGATCCTCACTCCCTTGGTAGACTCAAGTCAATGATAAGGATTCATAAGGTCGGTATCTTTGCTATTTTGGAACCATTGGTCTCCTCTCCGGATGATCGCATTTTGTGTAAATTCAAAAACTTTTCTTCTACCCTCCTGGACTTTAATTGCAACAAGGCCGCTGGGCCTGATGGTTTCACCTCTGCTTTCTATATTAAATGCTGGAGTATTGTTAAGGGTAAGGTGGTGGAAGCTATACAGAGTTTCTTTAAGGGGGAGACTTCTGAAAATTATTTCTCTGCCGCTACTATCGTTCTTATTCCCAAAAACACTCAAAAAAGCTCTTAGGACCATTTTAGACCTATTTCTCTGACTTCTGTCATATCTAAGATGATTAGTAAAATTTTGGTCAGGCGTATTCAACCTCATCTCCACAAATTAATTTCCTTGAATCAATCTGCCTTTATTAAAAGGAGAGGGATCACGAATAATATTATGCTTGCGGAGGAACTCATCTTGGATATTGATAAAAAAAAGTAGAGGGGGAAATATGGTCACTAAATTGGATATTCACAAGACTTATAATTCTATTAGTTGGGAGTTTATCTTGAAGGTGCTTAAAGCTAGGGCTTTTCCCCAGGATTTTTGCAAAATTATTCTCTCATGGCTCCATTGCAATAAATATAACATACTCATCAATGGTCAATCTCTGGGCTTCTTTAGTGCGGGGCATGACCTCTTATCCCCTACTATTTTCATTTTAATATTTGATTATCTTTCTTGCCTTTTAAATAACCTTTTCAGGAGAAACACCACTTTGCATTACGCTCATAAATCCAATACGTTGGTAACACATTTAACGTATGTCGATGATATGATATTGTTCTCTAATGCTAGCAAAAAAGCGGCGAGAGATATTCACAGTTTGATGGCGAACTTCTAATCTTCTCTGATCTCCTTTTTAATGCCAATAAATGCAACTTTACATGGGAAATATGGTCAATCGTTCTAATGTGTGCTGTATTGCCAGTTTTACTGGATTCTCTATTTCTACGATTCCACTTAAATATCTGGAGGTCTTCTTACTTAAAGGAAGGAAGAGGTGAATTCAGTTTGATGAGGTGGTGGAAAAGATGCGGAAGAAAATCTTGGATTGGAAAAATAATTTCTTTTTTTTAGGGGTAGAATTACGTTGCTCAGGAATATCTTACGTTCTCTTCCTTTATATACTTTTCAAGTTTTCCAACTCATGAAAATCACTCTTTTGAGCCTCGAAAGATGTTTCAATAAGTTTTTATGGGTGAGGAATCATTCAGATAGAAGATGGATGCCTTGGAAGAATATTTGCAAACCTCTTTAAGCTGGTGGTTTGGGTTTCAAATCTCTGCATCATATTGATGATATTAATGTTTTTAAACAATGGTTTAATTTTCGGAAAGGAGATTCCTTGTGGGTCATTTTCATGCATGGGAAATATTGCCACTCTTGTTCGATATTGATCAATTGGCGGTTGGGGGATTCCACTATGTGGAAGAGAATGCTTTATGTTAGAGATTGGGCAAAGGATTTCAAATATTGGGAGGTGGGGAGTGGAAAGATTTCCTTTTGGCATGACTGTTGTTTCCATGTAATGCTTGATATGAGGGATACTAGGTTTTCAACTCTTATGGTTTCTGATACTTGGGTGGATGGTCGTTGGAATTTTCCTCTTCTCCTTAATTTTTTGGGTTTCGAGGGAGCTAATACTCGTTTAACTAAATTTAGTTGAGGTGCGACAGGGACGGACAATTTAGTCAGACTAAATTCTCACGAATACTCGTATTAACTTGCAGAATTAAGACCCAGTGGGTGATGAATAAGTTTAACTAAATCGCCGCAAACATGTGTTATACATTACATTTTATAATTAATTTAGATTCATATTCAGAAGCGTGGGAAAAGTTATATCATCAAAACAATAAGCTATGCAAAGTTGCAAATCCAACATAAATAAAATATGTACCCAAAAGACGGTGCAAAATCCCAAAATTATAAATGCAAAAGCTGTACAAATCACATTTGGCTACTTTCCTCTTCTTAAAAGTAAACAGTATAGAGTGAGAAACAAAAACCTTGGTAAAATAATCAAGGCTAAAGTAAGTTTTTTTAGACTGAAAAGAAACAATGTGAATGCTCATATGAAACAGTACATGTTTATACACAAGTTACAATATGCTATAATAGTATAAAACATGAAAAGAAAGTATGTAGGGTAGAAAATCATGACTGTTGTATAAAACATATATAGTCATAAGTTTGTAATCATAAGCATGTTCTTAGCAGTCTCATCATTGCATAACAATATCACTTGTAAATGTATAGGCCTTAACTATTTTCTTGTCCTGTAAAATCATGGGTCATCACCCTGCTCCAATTTTCATATTAACTATCAATAAAGGTTGATTTAACATAGTAGTTATCATTATCCCCCATGATACTAACGGTTTTCTACATTATGTCACCTTCTGTTCACAACAGTTTCTAGAGTTTCGTCACCACCTAAACACCAAAGTTGGGAATACCACATTCCTGCATAACGTACTTGCAAATACTCGTGTAATAGTCAACCCAGAACATCACTTGTAACATTTCTTAAAGCATAATACATGTATCAAACATTCATAGACATTTCATATATCACATGCATGAATCATAATAAATGAATATCTGCAGACAATTAATTTCGTAAGCATATTCATCTGTATCATAGAATAATAGCATCACATGTAAGAAAAATCAACATGCATTCATACATTCAATTTAGGTATTCCTTCACTAAATGCAGGAAATTCTAAATGCATTCATATCAAACGAGAATTCATATGAAAACCTATAGAAGATTATTTCACCTGGCTTGATGGAGTCCTATAACGAGTTTTCTCACGCTAGTCTCGAGCTTGCCACCTCGTGTAAACAACCTGAAATTTTTATGTAACTTAGGGTTTCATGGAAATTTTTATGTAAGCATTCTTCTCCGAAATGGACCTCTTTGTTGATTTTGTGCTAAAACCCTTACGGTAGCTCGCAAACAAAGTTCGACGCTTTCGACACAAGTTCGATGTACCCAAGCCCCTTTACTGTTCCGTGTGAAGCTGAACATGGGAAAGGAAGATGGGGAGAAGGGCGCAACAATTTATCTCGCCCCTCCTCTTTTGTCAGCCGCTTGATTTAATCGAGCCCTTTCATGCGCGTGTAAGTGTGGGGTGATTCGGTTGCCTACAGTGGACAGGCAGGAGCAGGATACAATTAGCATAATTAAGGGTTTAATTAAGGTAATTGTACTTATCATTTCATAGTTTTTTATCTTCCAAACCGTTCAAAATTAGTGTATAGTGCTTTATAACGAATTGATCGATTTGAAGCGTAGAATTTTATAAAAATAATTCGTTTGAATTATGAAGGGTGTTAATTTTAGGGTATATTTAAAATTTAAAGAATTTTTACCCATTCTAGAATTTTGGCCGTTACAGCTACCGTATTGACAGGAGCACATATTTACGCTTGGCAACATTATTTTTTTTCTTGTATTTTATACTGTTAATTATCATGTTTTTAAGAGAAATATTTTATGCCTGCTGTTTCTGATGATTTTCTTAATCATTTTTGGTTTTTAGATGTGATATTTGCGTAAGTGGGCCTTCCCCAAAGCAAAGTTTGACTGCTGAAGTGAAAGCTTTCCTGCATACTCTCCAGACCCAATGTGCATATATGGTATGTAACCTTCTTTCCTTTGTACTACGTTTTGGAACATTTTTTGTTCATGTCTGTGGAGTGGTTCTTAATAGCTATTCTTTTTCAAATGAACATATTTTCTCCGGTAGTTCTCTGATTTAAAAATATATGAGTAGTTCATTTGAAATTCGCCTCATTTATCAATCTATCATAGTAATTAGAACTTATTACAGATAGTAAATTTAGTTTTAGTAGTCAAAGCCAAGTATATTGAGCAGATCACTTAGTCAATATAAGGGTATATTTTCACTTTATGAAAACATGTATCGTGCTTTTTGCTAATTCCTAATTGTTAGGATGAGGTAAATGATGGTGATGGTGTTCGTGAGTGGGAAGTAAGGCCTATAACACATCTTTAAACTTTTCTTGGCCATCTCGAACATGTTGGAATGATGTAATTGTGCTTCTCCGTCTGGCCTCATTCAATCATGAATTTTACTCTTTGTATTGATTGGTTGGCCACTTTGACTAGCCTTGCTAGTTTTATCCTTTTATCTGGCCTTTTTGACCGGCTTTGCCTATTTTACCCTTGTGTCTTTTATGTATTCATAGTTGAACTGTTTTAATGTTCTAATACAATTGCACATTCAACTGTAGACTAACAACATGCTACCCCAATCTCCTAATTAAGTTCATAGTTAAAACATGACAATAATGAAGACTATTATCCTAAATGAAGTAGTTTATATGCTGTATATATCTTGATCTAAAAATCTTGGGGGTTGTATAACGGATTTAAGTAGTATTTAACTTAGATATTGCTAAACAGAAAAATGGCAATTTAAATAGAAGATTTAGCATATCCAGTTGATTTTCATTTTCTTCTCAATTTGGCCTTAAATCTCGGGTTTAAGAATTGACAGGATTTAGTAAATCCGGATTTATAGGATTTACTAAAGTTGCTAAGGTTTTTATCATACAGGCCTTTGATATGCTAGATTAATGTTCAATTTTGGTTTCTAGAATGCAAATAACATCAAGAAGTTCCCTTTAAATACCATATTTAATTATTCTTTTTTATCTTGAATCATAATCCATGAATGTTCTAAGGACCAATTTTCATTTAAATATGTTGAATGCAGACATAGCAGTTGTTTTCCTGCGCCTTGGGGGAGGGGGAGTGCAAAGGGATGCCCCAACGCTCTAGTCCTCACCACTGTGTCAGTAGGTAGGTCGTCCAGTGCACAGCACCCCGTGCTTGGATCCATTGTGGGTGGTGCCCCAGCGCCCATTCGAGGTGTGGGAGTGCTTGATTTTGTGGCTTCTACTTGAACGAGCGGAAAGGCAGCGTTGGGAACAACGCATCGACACCAGGAGCGGTTTGTACCCGATTGTGGATTTAAGCGCTTGTTTCACAAAGGATGATAGCACTCTCTTATAGTATATTATCGACGGTGTGTAGTGTTTGTGTTGAGAGGGTGATTTCAGTGAGTGCTTTCTTTCATGAGATCAGGAGAGGAAGGAGCATGAGTTGTTGTAAGTTTAGTGGTGTAGATAGTAGACTGAGTGGTGTAATTTTGTCTATTCTATTTTCATAGTGGAATTTTTTGTGTAACGTAGCTCCGTGGATTTTTTTCAGTTCTCTGGTTTTTTAACGTTAAATTTTTGTGTGTTTTTTAGTTGATTTCCTTGTTTTGCGCTTCTATTGAATTTATTGTTCTGGATCTCTCAAATTTGTGTGTTGTTTTCTCGAGGTTTGGTTTTGATTGTGACTCGATCAAATCCCAAGTTTTCATCCCAAGCGGTTTTTTTTTTGAAAATCTTTGATTTGAGTGAGAGAAATGACTGATGAAGCGAGGCACGAAGTTGAGGCCAATGCAGAAATCACTCTACAAATGTCTCCAACGGTTAAGTCTAAGGTGACTTCTTGGTTTTATCTTTAGTCAATAGTGAATCTTGGATAGTAGATTTAGGTACGTCTTTTCATGCATGCACAAATAAAGAAGTGTTTAAAAACTACCCTCAGAATAATCTAGGGAAAGTATTTTTGGGAGATAACAAAGCTTGCAGTATTATAGGAAATGGTAATCTTGATATTAGGTTTCAAAATGGGACAATCTGAAATCTTAGTGAAGTTCTCGGTGAGTTTTCAAAATGGGACAATCTGAAATCTTAGTGAAGTTTGGAGAAACATTTGTTCTCGGTGAGCCAGCTGACAAAGTCAGGGTATGTGACTATTTTCAAAGGTGATTCGTGGAAAGTGATCATGGGGCAATGGTGATGCCGTAAGGCAATATTGAAGGCACTATTTACCCGTTCAATGAGAATTCTGAATCAATTGATGTAGCTGGAACCACGATTGATGCAAGTCTTTGACGTCGCAGCCTTGGCCATATAAGCAAGAAAGGTTTGAAGTTTCTACTTTCTAAAGATAACTTGTAGGGTTGGAAGTCTCTAGAGTTAGATTTTTGTGAAGACTATGTATACAAAAAGTCAAAGATTTTTTTTTTCTGCAAATATGGGTTAATGGTGGAGTCCAAGAAGCTTTAGTTAGTGCATACTGACGTATGAGGTCCTACACCGGTTCAGTCCATTGGGGGTTCTCACTATTTTGTCATTTTCTTAGAGATGATAACATCAAATAGTTATGAGTTTATTTCTTAAAGTATAAATTAAATGTAATTGGGGTATTTAAGTGGAAGACTATGGTAGATAATGAGACAGACTTGAGGTTGAAGTTTCTCGATAGTTATGAGTTTATTTCTTAAAGTATAAATTAAATATAATTGGGGTGTTTAAGTGGAAGACTATGGTAGATAATGAGATAGGCTTGAGGTTGAAGTTTCTCGGATCAGATAATGGTGGCAAGTTTTGTGATTAAAGTTTTTTGAGTTGTAGTGCATCAGAGAGGATCATGCATGAGTTTACTGTTCTAAGGACACCACAATATAATGGTGTAACTGAGCGCATGAATAGAACTATCACAGGACATGCTAGTACTATATGATTGCATGCAGGCTTGCCAAAGCAATTCCAGGTAAATTAAGTGGACATTGTTGTTTGTCTGATCAATCATGGTTCTTCAGTACCTTTGAAAGAAAGCTTATCTAAAAAACTTGGAGCGACGAAGAGTTAAATTTTTCTCACCTGAAGGTATTATGTTATTTTACATATGTTCATATTGATGCAGGGTCCAAGATTAATTTTGATTTGATATCTGTCAAGTGCATTTTCATTTGGTATGACTCAGATAAATTTGGGTACAAATTCTAGGATTATCAGAATCAGAAGTTCATTAGAGGTATGGTTGTTACTTTCAATAAAATAGAGATGTATAGGGACAAGAGCAGAACTCAGGATTGTCCGTCAATTACTTCCAAAGAGTCTAAATATGTTGAGATAGAAGACGATGAAGAAAAGAGTAATGTTTAATCTGATGAAGCATGGGAAGTTTTTGAACAATCTGTTAATCAAGTCAGGAAATTCAAAAAAATCAGAAAACCGATACATATGTATTCTCCTTCGTTTTACCATCCTTTGCTAACAGATAGTGGTGAACTTGAGTGCTATGATAAGATCACTCAAATTGAAGATTCAAAAGAGTGTGAGTTTGTCATAGATGATGGGATGTGGTCATTGAGATCAAATCAGACCCGGAATTTGACAGAATTATCAGATGGCAAAATGGCACTGCACAACGAGTCAGTCTACAGACTAAAAGAAGAGTCAAATGTAACAGACACTACAAAACAAGACCCGTGAAGGAGTTTTAGCAGAAGAAATGAGGGGACTATAATGAAATTTTTTCTCTTGTAGTGAGAATGCCAACTGTCAGGGTTGTGTTGAGCTTAGTAGTAGAGGAAGATCTACATATGAAGCAAATGAATACAAAGACGATCATCTTTCATGGAGACTAGAAAGAGAAACTATATATTGTGCAACAACAGGGTTATGAAGTTTCAGGGAAAGAAGACTTGGTCTGCAGGTTGAAGAAGAGTCCTTATGGCTTGAGGCAGGCTCCGAGATAGTGATACAAGAGATTTGACATGCTAATGTCTGATAATGGGCATATGAATTGCCAGACTAACCACTAGTGCTTCATCATTAATTTTGGTAATTGTTATATTTTGCTTTTCAGTATATGGATGATATGCTGATTGCGAGGGAAAATATGAAAAAAATCAAGGATTTGAAGGATCTATTATTAAGGGAGTTTGAGATGAAGAATTTAGGTCTAACCAAGAAGATCATTCAGATGAAAATCAGTCGGGACATGGTTGCAGTTAGCTGAAGTAGTCTCAGGCGGAGCATATTGAGAAAGTCTTACACAGGTTCAATATGAGTTAGGGAAAACCAGTTTGCACTCCCTTAAGTAATTACTTCAAGCTATCTAAGTAACTATCGCCTAAGTCTGAAACAGAGCAAGCACAGATGGGTTGAAGTCCGTATGCTTCAACATTTAGAAGTCTAATGTATGATATAATATGTACGAGATCAGATATTGCATATGCAGTGGGAGTGGTTAGCAGGTATATGAGTAATCCTGGAAAGTATCATTGGGAGGTGGTGACTGAATTCTCAGATATTTAAGGTGAATAATCAACAGAACACTTTGTTTTGAAAGTACAAGGTTGATCTACAAGGATATGTAGATTCAGATATGATAGGGGATATAGATGATAAAAGAAGTTCAATGGATATATCTTCACTTTGGGGAACACAACTGTGAGTTAAGTTTCCAACCTGCAGAAGATTATTCTTTTGACTATGGAAACTGAATAGATTGCTATGTTTGAGGCTAGCAGGAGATGATTTGGTTGCATTGGCATAATTTGGCATGGTTGGGGGGAGGGGGACAAATGATTTGGTTGCATTGGCATAATTTGGCATGGTTGAGGGGGACAGTATGAGTATTATTCATCTTACAAAGAATGTCATTTTTCATGCTAAGACAAAGCATATTCAGTTGATAATCATGTTATTTGTTAGTTATTCTTAGAGTAGATAAATACAACTCAGAATCTTTCATATATATTAACTAAGGTGGTGGTTATTGAAAATTTGAAGCTATGCTTAGCTTCAGTGGGAGTCTAGGAATGTTATGACCAAATGTGAGCCACACTACTTTACAGAACTATGAAGGTGATGTAGATGAAGTTGCATTTAGAGGGGAGGGGTTGAGGTGCAATTAGTCTTCAAGTGGGAGATTGTTGAGATTGAAGCCTGTTTGCATAGCAGTCGCAACCCATGAGGCTTTCTAGCTCTTACACAACACTTCAACTCTTCAGGGCGGCACCCAGTGTTCTATTCTAGTGGACCAGGCGTCCCTGCTCCCCAAAGTGGTGCCCAGGCACCCTAGGTAGGGGGGTGCCCAGATGCCTAGTGCACGACACTCTTGTGCCTGGGTCTAGTGGGGGCGGCGCCCTAGCTCCCATTTGGAGCGCGAGAGCTCCAGATTTGTTGCTTCAGCACTAGCAAGCTGAAAGGCAGTGTCCGAGAGTGATGCTTCGACGGCACGAGCGGCTTGTACGTAGTTAGGGATTTAAACGCTTGTTTCATGATTGATGATACCACTCTTTTACAATGTTTTCACAACGGTGTGTAGCTTCTTTATTAAGTCAGTGATTTCGGTGAGTGTTTTCTCTTGTGAGATCAAGAGGGGAAGGAGCGTGAATTGTTGTAAGTTTCGATGGTGTAGAGAGTAGATGAAGTGGTATAATTCTGTACTTTTTTTCTTTCGTGGTGGATTTTTTTATGTTTTGTGGTTCTTTGATTTTTTTTAGTTCTCTGGTTTTCCATGTTAAGTTTGTATTTCTTCTGGATTTCCTTATTGTGTGCTTTTGTTCAATTTATTATTCGAATTGGTGTGTTATTTTTTTGCTGTGTGTTTTTTTATTGTGAATTAATCAAATCCCTAGTTTCCATCACAACAAAAAAGTCAAACCCTTAAAAAATTATTTTGAAATTAAATCAACAGCTACCAAGAAAAATAACCATCTAATTTATGGATACAATAACTGCTCTAGTAATGGAGAGGTAATCTTGAATTGGAGAGTTACAACCTATGAAGCACGAACATGAACACGGAGACATGGACTTAACACGATACAATACGGCATCACCACATAATTGAAAAAATAGAACACGATACGTTATGGATATGTTATAATATTTAATTAATTATGGATATAAAATATTTATTTGTTCATTATTCTTTATTACATTACAGAATAAACTATACGATAATAAAATTTAATTTTATAAATATAACCAATATTATGAAACCTCATGCTTATGAAAATTAATTTTTAAAATGAGATATAATATGTTTCAAATGAATTCGTCTAACTTATCGAATAAAATTTAAAATATCATTCTTATTTAATTAATTAAGTTAAATTTTAACTTTTTAATTTTAATAAATATAGATTTATAACTATTAACTCATTAATTAGTAAAAAAATATTATAAATTATGCTTAAAATATATAAATTATTGCTTACAAAACTATGGCCGCTTTAACTCTATTTGTCTTCAATGATAAAAGCTTCAATGCAAGTGAGCTTCAGTGCAAGTGTTGCAAAGTTCGTGGGGCATTTGAATTGGCTTCAACGAATAGAATTGCTCAGGTTACGACAAAGAAGCTTACAACTTCTGTGTTGCAAAGTTCGTGGGGCATTTGAATTGGCTTCAAAGAATAGAATTGCTTAGGTTACGACAAAGAAGCAAGAAGCTTACAGCTTCTGCTCTGTTTTAGTGTGGTGCATGTTCTGCTTTGATGAACAAAAGTGAACTACAATTCTCAGTTTCAATGAATGTAAGATGGACTTTTTACGCTCACTTTCGACAAACAAAAAGGTAAGTACTGATGCTTAGCTTTGACAAATATTGGATGCACATTCGATGCACAATTTTGACGAATGTTAGAGAGAGTTTTGATATGATAAGAAATGAGACGACTTCAATTATGAGGTATAGTAAGGGCTATGTGTATATTTATAATTTTCTACTTCTTGTTTATCGTTTTTCCCTAAATTTTTTTGAGCTCATGCCCGATGCAGTGTCTAGACGTATCCTAGAACTGAAAAAAATTTAGACATATTTTGTAGTGTCTAACAATTGTCAGAACATGCAGACAAGTGTTGGTGTCCAATATGTGTTTGACACAGTTACAACAGATTTTTAGAAGTGTCGGTGCTACATAGTGACATTGGGGCTGGGCAGACCTTGGACCGGTTCTGTCTAGGTTGAGGGAGTGCAATCATCCCTTTCTAGGCCTAGGATTGTTGCCCAATTTGTGTTGTATGGTTTGGGATAGCTGTCGACGTCTCCTCTTCCCTTTTAAGGTTGTATCTTAGGAATCTAAGTGGTGCTTCGGCTTTATTTCTGTCTCTAGGTGGTGTTTATCTTTCTTATACCTTTTTCCAAACCTTTCCTGCCATGTTCTCACATCCCCTTCATCATTTTTCTTGTTTCCGCCGCTTAGAAAAACACTTCTACAGTTGTTCTTGCTGCTTGCCGCTTCTCACCCTGTTGTCCTTGCCCTCCCCATTGCTGAATTCACCTTTCAGCTTGTTGGCTGACCCACTTGCCACCTCCCCGGAGTCCAATTCCCTAGCCAACAACACCTACACCCTAGTTCTAGTGTGTTATTTTTGTTTTGTTGCAATTTTCAATTTCCCTGATGTTGTTGTAATTTCAGATTTTTGAATTCAGTAATAACTTTTATTTTCTCTTCGATGTTTGATAAATTCCGGTATCACATAGGCTACAACTGCTAAATGAGGCTAAATAGAGTTAAGCACTCTAGAGCTTTGTTTTCCTAAGGTTGCTCTGCTCATAGGTTGAATGATAAGTTCTCTCATAAATTGTTTGACAATCTCATTGTTGGAATTCATGGAAGGTAATGAAGAAAGGGGACTGGAAATTTTGAGTACAACAGTTTACTTATGCTACAAAATTTTTATTGTGTTTCTAGTTTTTTTTTTTTTTTTTTTTCATTAAGTGGCCCAGAAGTTCAGCGCAAATAAAATGCAAAGCTCCAACCCTGCGACAGGAGAAGAAAACCCAACTAATGGATGAAATACAGGAGAAATAATTATCAAAAGCATTTCATCTTTGAGCCAGCAGTACCGGGAGTCAGATTGGAATCTGCATATAAGAGATGGATTGAGGCAACAAATGGGAAGCTCCAGGAACGAAAATAGTTATAAAAATGATTCAAATTTATATGAATTCAAATCCGGAAGTATCATTTGGATACTTTGTTATTAATTTTGTTGTCTCTAGAAGCCAAGTCGGATCCAACATTTGACTTTGAAATTGACAGTTAAGGTTGAATTAATGTTTGTTCCAGTGTTTGGATATGGAGAAATTCTTGAAAAGGCTTTTCATAAAAAGACACCATCATCAGCCATAGAATTCACTATTCAGAGGGACAACAATCTTGGAGGAAGAATTAGTAGTAGGTTGCAGAGAATAAAGTTTGAATTCTCGAAGAAGAAGAATTCTTAAAATTAATATGAGCAATATAATAAAATTTCTTGGAGTCAGTCATTAGACATTATGGAATACATGATAAATAATTAAATTGTGAGTGTTAAGGCATTGTGAAGGTATTTATTTGAAATGGTGTGCTTATCCATACAATTGAGCCTTCCAACTTTGTAGAGTAAAATCGAGCAAATACCAGTTCCCATCTTGCAACTACAGTTTTCAATACTCATCCCATTGTTTTATTATAATAGCATTGAGGCTTATACATATGAGATTTATGCATTTCGTTGGATTTGAATTTGCCAAAGAAAAAACCGAGTTTATTAAATGTAATAAAAATAGTCAACTTTTTGTTCCAATGCAATGATTCGCCAAAGAAATAATCAAATTTTTGTTCCAGTTCAATGATATGGCTCAACGGGATTGTTTTTTTAATACTTTTGACAGAGATAGAGAAATTTATTGGATTGCAAAATTTTATTTTATTTTTCCTTCTATTGCTTTAAGAAAAGACTTTTGGATTGAGACCCTTCAATTTCTAGTGTACTTAAACATGATTTGGAAGTATGACCGAACTTGTTGCATGAATGACAAACCATAACATTTCTACAAGGTCTAGCAAGATGATCTTTTTCCAACACCTGGCTCAAGTGAGAGAACCAAGCCTAGCTAAAGCTCATAGTAGATAAAGCGGCTGCCGCAGATGATTTACATGAATGCCTTCCACTGTGGAAGAAGGATTCTCCTCTTGCAACAGATTCTTCTATTCTCTCTCTCTCTCTCCCATTGCACTGGACATACGTTTTTACTCTCAAAGCAACTAAGCCTTCTGATTCTTTCGTTTTGTTAAGTTGATATTAAAATCACCATCAACAGGTATAGTAGCATGCCATGTCCCTGTAAATGTGACAGAAGCTATCTTTTCTACAAGCATACTAGCATCTGTCTTGGTACATCTTGTTTTTGCACTTCATACCAATTTATCGTAATTCTTTTTATAGAAAATGTTGCATGTTTCAATTTTATGCTCAGGTTTCCAGCCTTGGTTGACTCTGCATGCTTTGACCATTCTACTGTACTTTATGGGCATGATCACATACTTTTCTTTTTCAATATTCAAAACCCCGCATCCAAGCAAAGAAAATATGAGTTATTGAATATTTCACTATAAAATTACCAAGTTCTTATTGCATTTTTCGTGACATTTTGTCAAATTATTATCAACTTTGTAATGATGAATGGTACCTTTCCATGTTAATGTTAATTGTGTTTTTTGGATATTTACTATAAAATGTTAAATTAATTTTTAGATTTAGTTGGTTTTGTCCCATGGTGAACTGTATTACTAAATTGTAGTGTGTGTGCTATAACACAGCAGATTGCGCTTTGTTCCATTAGTGTGGTACTTGAACCTACCTTTCAACATTTCAGGATGAAACAAGTTTTGGATATGCTTCTCATTTTGATGCGATATATGGTGAATTCAGTAGAAAGAAGCTCTTAGAGAGACCCAATTTCCGGGATGTGCTCAATAGACTAAGGGAACAGGTTTATGCTTTAACAATCTATTTTCAGTATTAATTTAAAGTATGAAAGATATATTTGGTCGCATCTTCTTTGTTTCATATACAATTGTTTAGTTCTGATTCAATGTGTTTTGCCGTCCATATAGTGATACTATCTAGGAAAATATAAGTTAGCTAAGCAAATATTTTATTTTTGATGCTTGAAAGTGACCTAATATGGTTTTTTTTTTCTTTAGTTCTGATAGAATTCAAGGTTAATTGCCTTTGATTTTGAAAGAATGTAGTATTACTGTAGGAGAAATAATGGTGGAATACTCTATTATGCTGTAATAACCAAAAATAGACCCTGTAAATAGGGGTTTACGAAGTTATAAACCTGAAAAGAAATAAACATATCCTTGTAAAATCAATAAATTTGAATATTACACCAGATTTAAGATTTAAAAATTACCAAATATAATTGCTATAATTCTTAGAATTCACTTATTATATTGGACAACTGCAGCCTTCCATACAGACAGAAGCTGAGACGTGGCAATGCGTGAATGACTGCAATAATTATTATAGCGATGGGCCGCCCACTGTCCTTGTTCCGGCCAGTGAGACGTGGCAATGCGTGAATGACTGCAATAATTACTATAGCGATGGGCCGCCCGCTGTCCTTGTTGTTCCGGCCAGCTGGAATACCATATAAGGAAAAAACCAACGGCTCTTACCACGCAGAAAATTTATCATAAGGGATCTCTTTTTTCCCAAGCACATGTCATGAATATTTCCTTGTTTGTGCCGAGCTAAATATAGTGGATGGTTAATCACTTTTTTTCTTACCTCCTTTGGGAGGGGTTACAACCCTCATTATAATACTTTTTGCAACCTAATTTGTAAACACCATACAAGCTATGCTTGTCAAACTTATTCATGAATAGGCGTCTTATCAATCCCGAAGTAAGGATGCTAGCAGTTTGATTGAAAGATGGATATTTAAAATACAATTTCTATTTTGAATTTATTATTTAATTAAGTATCGATCTAGATTGTTTGGTTCTATCTTGATGGATTGGGTTGTCTAATATACAAATAGCAGTTTTTTTGTTACAATGTACTATTATATAATTTTTTATTGTTACTTAAAATTCTCAAGGGTAGCTTAAGTTAGATTAAATCACTAATTTTGCTAGCCAATTATTTATGTTTTGCTTCTGCACTACTCACTGTGACAACAATTTTATTTACTTCTTTTATTATATGATTATCCCATAAATAGGTGCAAGACCTTGATGTAAATCTTTAGTCAACTATAAAACTTGACCAATAGCAGTGTTTGCATATCTTTGTATCATTATTCTAGTGTTTTTTCCAGAGGGGCACACATGAACTGGCTTATCATGTAGCATCAAAGGTTATGTCAGGCTTGGCATGAGCCAAATAGATGAGTTTTTCCACCAGTATTTGACATCTTCCTTTATTGTCTAGGGTAGTGCTATGTTCACCCAATTTCGTGATAAGATTCAATGGAGTGGCGACGAGTTTGATTTCAATTGTACATATTTCTCTTAAGAGATTTAGAGCATACTTTCATTGAGAGATGACTAAGATAGACTTGTGTAATGCTAATAAACCAAGCTAAGGATCCAATGTGTAGTTCTATAAATATGATAAGCCAAAACTCACGAAGATATTGTTAGTATTCTACCTTGAAAAGAAATGTTTGTCCATTCTAGGTTGACCTATGACACTACTAAGTATCCAATCTTTCCACCACTAAATTTTTTACTTCATATTTGCATACTACATTCAATTCTTTTAATGATGAATATTTGAGTCCAAGTTGTCTCATCTATTAGGCATCTTTATAATCAAGAAACTTAAATCTTGACCATATACTATCGCCGGTATAACAACTTACTTGACTTAGTTAACATACTCATTATTGTATCTTAGATCGAGCCATAATCCTATTAGTCCCACAGATATCCTAAGCTCGTGCCATTATCCCATAATTCCCACTTACACCATTGAGTTGGGCCATAAATCCCTAAGTTTTACTTTTGTGCCACTATATATTAACAAAAGTTAGCTTAAGGCAATGCTTTGAAGTGAGCAAGTTTGGTTTGACTCAGAGCTGCCTGCTCGAAGTAACTCGTGTATACAACTTTCAACTTTAGGCTTCATTTACAAATAATACATTCTTCAACATACGTACACCCCAATCTACCTGGGAAGATTGGTTTAGTTGGAAAGATATCTCATAAGAGCAAACTAGAGTCAGCGGGCAGGCTAACCCGAATATTATACAATTTGAAAATCCTAACACGAACCCAAATCGCCTTCAACTTGCCAACTTGAACCCAACCCATACAAACTGTTTAACATAAGGAAAACTGTTATTTTGGGCCAATTTTGGGTCTGGGTTGGCGGATTTATTTCAAGTCAATTTCAGGTTGGTGGGTCATCCCGAATACGAACCAAAAAAGTTAAATTGGTTAAGTTCTTTAACCTGGACTCAACTTGAAAATTATTCGGGTCAATTTGAACACGGATTTTCTTAATTGACTTCAAGCCAAGTTTGTGTGTCACGTGACACCTCTATTATGGATGCTAATTAGGCTTTCTAAATTATGTGGTGTTTCAGTCTATCATCATTGGTGGAGTGGATCATGTAAGTTGACTCTAGATTATGTAATCATTGGATATTGATTGGGCTGACCTTCCATCCCTTCCAATACGCATACATATAAAACTAAAGCTCATTGACGTGGAGGCTAGGAGCTGAACTAGCTCAACTGGTTCAGCAAGAATGTTGTCGGTCCAGTAGGGAGGCTGAACTGGTTGGCCCTACTTTGTGTTGAGGGATTTCACTCACCCCCCTCCTAGTTATCTTTACTATAAATATGATTCTTTGTTGTTTAGGGTTTAGTTTTTCTTGATTTCAGATTTTTTTTGTTGTCGGCATTTCTTTTTTGCTAAGATTTATTCGAGGATAGTTGATGCTCCAGTTGTATCATGCTTCAAGGTGGTGATTATCTCTACTTAATCCCCTACGTATTGCTCTCACCTACTCGCGACTCTTCAACCTACACCCTGTCGGTCCTACTTAATCCCCTACGTATTGCTCTCACCTACTCGTGGCTCTTCAACCTACACCCTGTCGGCCGTTTTAATTTTAGAACTTTAAACTTTATGATTTTTGAGTTTTAATTTTAAAACTTTAAACTTTATGATTTTTGAAAAAAGGAGATGTTTTATAAATATGAAAATAGTTTTGATGTAAATATAATTTTTGAAAGTAACATTTTAATTTTAAAATAGATGAGACCAAACGAGTCTCACATTTTGGATAGTTTGGATGACTGAGTGCGATATCATAAGTGATATACTTATCCCGAAGAATAAACATATCACTTGTAGTAGGCCCAATCACCTAAACTATAGAATTTGTGACATACGTTTGGTCTGCGAAATATTTTATATGAGGCCAACAAGTTCTCATACCTAATTTAAGGATTAGATAGAGTTTATTTTACCTGGGTTCCAAGTTTCCTATAGAGTCAAACCCCTATAGTTAATTACATTTCAAATGACTGGGATCATTCAAGAAACCTCTCGATTAAGATCAGTGGTTTTGCCTTTAAGATTTTAAAGTTTAGGTTTCCCAAATCGGACATGAGAAAATCAAATGAGAATGACTCAAAATAGGAACAATTATTTGAAGGAAGCCAAAGGAATGAAGAGTAAGGGATATCACAGATCCAGGGGAAACCCCGGTGACTTCTCAACTATCCTATTATTTGGCTTTATGTTTTTTGAAATGATACTGTTTAATGTTTAATTCCGCAATTTATTTAGAATTTAGGACTTATGTTCGCACGATATCTGATCGTGCAAATAGCCTAAAAAGATAGGAGGATTTACACTGTACCGTACAGTAACCTCGGGATCCTAAAGTGTTAGGCTTTTTTAATTGCACAACAGGATTGTGCAAATGCCTAAAAGTGATATGTGAGGGTTTATGCTGCGCTAGACAAACCACCTCGAAATCCTATGGGCTATTATTTTAACTAAGGAAAGTGATTAGTGATATGAACTTGTTTTGATGTTGCAAATTCATCTTGAAGTGATTCCTCCATATGTCCTCGTCATGCTGCCCGTGATGTTCGATCCAAGTTCTTCATCGTAGCAACTTCAGGTTTGATGTCAATCTTATAGGTATATGTAATCACTAGGTTTTCCTACACTAAGGTATGATGTGTAACAAAACAATTAAGCATGCAATATAGAAGAAAAAGACAGTATAATATACAGTAAAGAAAGAGGACAATATAGTGTGCTGGGAGAACAGTATAACATGCTAGGAGAACATTATAACATGCTGTGAAATAAAATACTGTAATGTAAATCAAATCGGTATATTTGGGAGGTCTGTTAATCTTTTAAGCGAACTAGTATTCACTGTATAAACAAAAGAAAGACATTGCCTGAAAAACTCGAGAAAATTGACAAATAACCCACAACAGAAGACCCGGGAAAATCGACGAGTAGCAATTCAAATAAAATCATCAAAGTTATGGAAAAATCCAAGAGAAAAGAGAGCACAAGTGCTTTGTCCAAAATCCAATAAAACTTACGAAAGGTCTGAAAAGAGGAGACCGCAAGCACTCGGGTCGGAGCTAGGCTCAAATAATATATTTGTACACGAGGAACGTCGAAGGCTACTATCGTTCACCCGGATGTATAAAACACGCCACTCAACTAGAAGGGTATCCTACTGAACCTAACTTAGGAGGGTACTTCTTAGCTTAGTATCGATATTCAACAAGTGGACAACCAAGTTGTAACACATTTAAAATTTAAATTTTAGCATGCACATATATTTCAAACATAAAAAAGGAAAATTGTATCAATTTTGTAGTAAAAATATTGTATTTGTTCTTATCAACTTGTTTTATCAATTTTGAAAAAGGAATAATTGTCCACGAGTCGATCACGTTATCGGACGTAGGACCGTCAACAACCTAAGAAGGT